TTTAATTTCAATCAAGGTCATCTTTTATTTTCTTTAACTTCAATTTGAGCAACGTGTTGAGTCTGCTGTTTTCTTAAGAATTCAACTTCACTTTCAAGTCTTTGAATTTTATATAATAATTCTTGCTTTCGTTTATCATGTCAATCCTTTGAAACAACCACAATTGCATGGATTTTTCAAATTCGGTAGAACCATTATATACGTTACTTATCATATACAGGTGATTCTATATATAATTTTATGACTTTGCCATTATTGTCAACATGATTTATGCTATACATGCGATGCAATTGATCTGATTGGTCAGCTTATGCCACGATTCTTTCGACATTTCATTAACTGTTATCATACGATCACCTCGTTACTGCCTTTGGAGTGGCACACTAAGCAAGCGTTTAAACCCCAATAACGAAAGCAAATTTTCAAATTTAAAAGCGACAAACAAGAGAATGCACGCCTTGGCCAATTCATATCATTATCAAATTGAGCAATATCCAATTGCTGGTCTTGACAGATGCACTGATCGTATCGTCAGACGGCTTGAAGCTGTTTCCTTCCATAAAATGCCTTCGTAGACTGGGTCGCGACAAGAGTCTTATTGGGAACTACTCGCTAGCTTCTTCGTTTCAAGAAAAATCCCCATGACGACACTGCAAATTTCTCCACGTCCGCACGGTCAGGATAGCCTTCCTTGTCAAAGCTAACGGCATATTGTGCTTCTTTCACGGCTTCGTCCGTCAAACGAACGAATATCCAGTCTATAAAATTTGATACAATACCATACACGACGGGTTGCCTACCACCGTTCAACTAGAACAACGTCAGTTAGTGACACGGAAAATATCGAAAATACATGCAACATCGCAGCACACCTCGTAAACCACTTCGCACTCAACGTAATTCTGAGCGCGCTCTTGGTCAAAATCTGATTTCTTTGCCTCGGCGATGCAGATTACGAAATCTCCAAGCCTGACAAGAAATTCCACGTTACCATTTGCTGGAACTTCCTTGCCAATTAACGCTCACAATGTCTATAGCTATTTCATTGCTTATAAAAACTAGTCGAAACCGTTTCAATGAGCTAGGGCTAATTGACAGAAGACACATATATGATACCTACCAGCGCAACTAACGATAACTGCTCCAATGAAAAATCTTCTTTTTGCCTCCACTCCGAAGCTAGGTTGTCCCATCGTTTTACAGAGAAGCTAAAGAGCTGTCAGAACGCGTATTTGTACAAAAATCAGTACATTATTATTACTTACTTTCAGATAGTGCATGGCTTCGTCAAGCGTGTCAGACGGCACGTCTACTTTTGGTGGATCGAATATGTCGGCACCAAACCTAACCCAATATCAATAGAATGGATTC